ACCAAGTCACCTCACAATAACATCAGGGAGCTCCCTCAGCACTTGTGGGTACATCCCATCAGGGCCCATTGACCTGTGTATGTCCAGTTTGCTTAAGGACCCACAGGACTCTTCCAAGCAAATCTGTGAAGAGGTCAGTACTGCTCTCCTGAAGCCCAGCACTGTGACCTTGCTTTCTGCTCTGCTCCCTCCTCTCATGATCCTGAACTCATGGTCACTGCAGCCAGGGCTGTCTTCAACCTTCACATCCTCAACAAACCCCTCCTTGTTTATGAGGTCCATTAACACAAGTAGAACCTGTTTCCATGGGCTCCTCTATTGCTTGGGTCAGGAAGCATCAATGCTCTCCAACAACCTCCTGGCTTGCTTATACCCTGCTGTGTTGTCCCTTTAACAGATATTGGGGTGGTTGAAGTCCCTCATGAGGACCAGAGACTGCAAATGTGAGGCAATTTCTAGCTATCTGTAGGCCTCATCCACTCCTTCCTCCTGCTCAGGCAGTCTATAGCAGTCTCCCACTACAATGTCACTCATACTGGTGACATGGGTTTGTTTTTTTTCCACAGACAGCTAGCTTGCTGGTGCTCTTCAGAAAAACCAGATGGCTACCATGGCAAAAGCTGTGGCTAGCTGATGGGTAACGGACTCTGCTAGTTTCAGACCCACTGCTTAAGAGATTTTGAAAGTTCACTAAAATTATCATAAAACTGTCTTTTAGTAAGGCAGCTAATAACAGCCTTTACTATACCAGGGGAAAAGATATAACACAGCAATGCCTCAGACACATAGTGTGCAAAATGTAAACAGAGTTCAGGCACTTTCACCTTCCTCTCTAAGAGCACCCCTTGTCTTGATGTCTTGTTTTGATTTACAAAAACTTCTCTGTAGTAGACTACAAACAGGCACACAGATGCAGCTGAAAGTCAAACATCAAAACCCCTGCATATTCTTTTAAAAAAGATTCAGACTTGGTTGTATTTTCTTTAGGAATATAATCTCACTGTGAATGTCTAAACTATATGGCTCCCTCTTGTGCCTATTATACCACATTTCAGTGTACAAAAAAAAATATTTAATATTAAGCCATAAATATCTGGGCTCTGTTCACCCTGCAATGCCCATAAATGCTAATGGAAGTCACACACGTACCTTCAGCAGAAAATAAAACCCTGCAGTTTACAAAAGTTCTCTTTGGAACAAACCACAAAAACATCTTGCAGGCTACAAGCCTGCTGCAATGAAAGTATTTTTTTGACCATCTGCTGTATTGTGATAGCGATGCAGAGGCCAAATACGCCTTTAAAGTACATCTGTAAGAACTTTTAACTGGTTTTTAGTTATCAAATTACATATGTTTAGAAAGGTGTCAGTGTGGTTTATAGAGCCTGGCTAACATGCTCAAGGGTTTATTTTTGTCTACTCAACATCCCACCTGTTTCTGCTTATCAAACCAGACTACAGTTTAGCTTGCAACAGCTGTGAAATGCATAAATCTGCCCATTCTTCATGTGGATCCAGACTAAGCACTTGGAGAAAGAGTTAGAACTGCAGCGTTCTGAGAAAGCCACCCTTACAGAGAAGCCAAGGAAATAACGCAGACCAACACTTGTCAAACTGTTTAAAACTGCACACCTATCAGAAGCCAAATTATTTTAATAACAGTCTAGTAATCCTACCTGGAAAGAAAATGAAGCATTTGAAGAAATTATTTGTGAATCCTTATATTCCCCCAGCCATTAGAAACTTTGCAGACCAAAAATGCTGCAAAGGAATTAAAAGATTTTGCCTGTACAAAATATTCCCTATTTCAGTGTCTTCAAATATCAGCAAAGCACTTTTTCTTTCAAGATGCTACTGGTTTTACTTTCTGCAGTAGAACAGCTAACAAGGAAGTAAATACAGTTTTAAGATTTTTGTATTAGAAAAAGTGTATTTGTAAATTTTTTTAAAAAATTAGTCTGCATACCTGAAGCAATATCAAAATCCTGGTCACACAGGACAGCTTTCATTAAAACACTTATGTTAAAGCAGTAGTAGCACTGAATGAAATTATGGTATACAAAAATCTAACATTCACTTTCATAAAGCTTGTAAAGTACACTGCCTTTAATAGGAAAGTAGTTTTGCTTTGGTTTTTTGTGTTTGTTTTTTTTGTGGGGTTTTTTTTTTTATTTATATGACAAATTCTTCTCTCCCCACCTCTTCTTCCCTTTTCCATACACTCCTGAGTTACCCTGAGCCATAGCATTTTGTGGGTCAGCTTTGTTCATTAAATAGGATGAGTGCATGCAAGATGATACTAAAATTAATTTCAGCTTTTCTGAATAATGAAAAATGGTACTTTATTTTAGTGAAGAAACATGCTTTTTTTTTTTCTATGACCTTTTTTTCTGCAACATCCCATAAATTACAAGCTCTTGTTTTTGAGAGCAGAAATAGAAATAAAGTTTTAAAACTTTTTCATGAGTTTTCATCACAAACATTCAGATGAAATTGTGGTTATGTGCCAGTGCTGAAGCATGGCACCAAATAACCAGAACACACCTAAAATTAACCTAATATTTATTACCATTCATTCTCCAAAGAAAAAGTAAATAAAGCAAATAATTCCTACCTGATCTACCTTCATGCTCATGTTCAACATGAAACAACAGCTATATTATACAAGAACATAAAAACAAGCAATAAAAGCATTTGTCAGGAGAATAAAAAAGATAACCTGGTCTAGACTTCTGACCACAAGTGATGAGAACCTACATTATAACAATTCATATAAAGGGCAACAGTACAGTACTAAACACTTTATTGAGTATACCGATATAAAGCTCAAAGAGAAGATTGCCATTTATTTAAAAACTATCTCCACAAAGGTTTCCCACTGCTACATATCAAACCAAACTGAATCGGTTTCAACAGTATCAGACTGAGAAGTCTTCCTCTGTGAGCTGCCATATCAGCTTCTATAGAATTGCAAATGTAAAACAGAAAATATAACAGTGCAGAGTATTAAAGGCTTGTTACCATGTACAACACATCACTGTCACTCGTGTTCTAAAGACATCTCGCATACATTATTTTCTTTGCTTAAACTGTAGCTTTTCTTACTCTTAATCAGCAGCATGGACTTTGATGCAGAACATAACTTATTTTTTAGTGAGACATTATTTTGACCACATTAGCTTAAATGCTATACATGCCACATGTAACTTCCATAAACCAGAAATGTTTTGTCAAACATTTAAGTTGCTTTTCACATAAGAGGTGTCTCATACTTCAACTGATGTTACACCAGTGTATTTTATATACATTCTTCAGTTGTGCTTGCATCACTATATCAGTCTACATGTATTAATCAATCACTGAGAAGCAATTCTGAAATACTAGACAAATGGCAGTCAAAATCTAGGGTGTCACTCCAGATCTCAATTCCCTGTAAAACAGTATTTCAGGTTTTTTTACATTAATGTTGTGATCATATAACCTCTTGCATAACACTACTTGTGCAGGATTAGTCAATGAAAGTGATGGCACTAGCCATAGTGATAGTTTAGCTATCTGATTAAGTACTGCAAGAGTGTGTTAGCAGTTGGAAGAACTGGATAATGTTACACAATATTCTGTTAATAAATCCTTAAAAACAGTAGCAGTATTTAGGGGTAAAAAGATATTCTAAATAAAATTTAGGAGTTCTGTTTGCCTAGTCAGTCTACTTTGAGGAAAAAATAGTGAAAAGCTGGAAGGTCAAGTGTGAATTGGCAGCCTAGAATAGCACATGGCAAGAAAAGAAAGTTGGCTAAACTATTGTTTCCTGAATTGTGACACCTGGAAGGAAGAATTTTGTTCCTTCTTGATATTAAAGCCTTTGTTCCTACCCTACTCCTTGCCTTAAAATGAAGTGCATCTTATTTAGTCTTCACCCACTATTTTCAATTACTTTGGCTTTCAAAATGTATCCCTCTGTTCCTTATACTTAGTAAATTGACAGTGTATTTGAAACATGCAAAGTTCTTCAAACACCAAGCAGCTATGCAAAATAATTTAACTTTTGTTGACTTAAAACAGTTAATAGAAAAACTGTGGAACTCTAATAATGTTAAGGGAGAATAGAATTGCTATGGCAAAAAAAAATGTCTCTAGATCACACAACTGTGGAAATTCAGTACACAGTCATATGCTTTTCACACAGACTGTGTCATAAAAAGCTTTGGGTGCTTGGACATTGAGCACTACCTTGACAACACCACATCACCATCCACTTACAGTACCAACTGTGTCTAGACATCAGTCAGAATAACAGTTCTATCTTAGAAACTAAATTTAAGTCATTACTTCAAAACATCACGAGAAGTTCACCCATTTCAAGCCGCCCCATACTCAAATTATTACCAGATGGGTTTATCTTTGTATCTGAAAGCAATCAAAATAATTATGTTAAATAGAATAGAAGACAACAGTTAACCCACAGTCACTAGAAATACAACATATACAATGGTTTTGTTCTATGTCAATTAACAATTATAAGTTTACTTTGTTTACTGCAAACTATACATTTTTCAAGGAGTCATAGAGGCACAGGTTGTAGATCTTTGCAGGTCATCTAGCCCAACTTCCCACAGGCAAACTTCCGGAGTCTGGCTACCAATAGCAAGTTGAAAACAATAATTGGATCATCCCTTATCTCTTCTTTCCCAGATAAAGGACTGAAGGAAATGACATCTTAATAGTCCTCCTCTGATCTCATTCCAGTTTGTCGACATGTCTTTTGAACTAGTGGGCCCAAAACTATACAGTATTGCAGATGAAACCTCACCCAATGCCAAACAAAGGACAGCAATCACTGCTCTCAACCAACTAAATACATTCTCATATATTCAGAAGCCTACCAAACTGTGAAATTTTAACAGCAGTTCAAAAAACAGCAGGAAGTTGTTTTAATGATGCAAACCTTTTAGAGCAATACCCTTTCTCTATTATTTAGCATCACTGTTTTCACACCTTTCTCAGTAATCATCATGAGTACTATATACCACATTTAAGATGCTTACCTGAATAACTTTGTAGAAATAGGCATACTGTCGAGCTGTATTTTTATATTGGCTAAAAACATCATGTATGGCCTGAGTTGACTGAAGATACTGCACTTCATCTTCTTCAAAATAGAGAGGAGTGTCATATTCACTGGGAAGCGTCTGGATGTAGGGCAGCCAGAAAGAGTTGGGGTTGGCTCGCTCACAAAGAAGATGGAATGCCAATGTTATATTGCCCATAGCTTGAAGAATTCGATCTTGAGAATACAGGGATCCTGAATTAACCCAGAAAGGTGAGGCACTAAATTAATTGTCCATGGAAAATATCATCCTAGATTTACTTTAAAGGAACATGATGAGATAACATGTACGAATTTTCAACAACAAAAAAAAAGCTTTTCAGGTTTCTAAAATATTTAGCTGCCCACATTGTATTATGCTGCAAGTTATCTGGCACAGTAAATGCTGCAGGTACAATTGCATGATGGAAGACATGAAGAAACTATAACAATACTCTCAGTACCTCAGACCATTTTATCTTCAAGCATTACACAAACTACATGATATGTGTTCAAAAGAACATACACACTTCTTGAAGATATCTAGTGTGCTCAGCCAGAAACAAAGAAGAAAATTAAATTCTTTCCACTGACACTTCAAACTTCTAGGTATTCAAAACCTGATGGTCAACATGATAAGCAAGTCCTGCAATAGGGGAGATCAGCTAAAAAAAATAAAGTCTCCTATTGAATGATTCCATACATGTCAACTTCTTGCTTAAGAACTTCCTTAAGCTCTTACCTAATACTGAATTTTTAGCTGACTCAACTGTCATCAACAGTTTTCTAGGAACCCACAGAAACAACTCTTCAGCCTACAAAAGGGAAAAAACGCACAGAGGGACAGTTAGCATTTATATAATATGCCAAGCGTCTTAAGTATACATAATCTTTAAATTACAGGTTGTTTTTCTGTTTGGTTGGGTTTTTTAAATAAAAATTATTCTGAATCAAAATTCTTCCTTCTCTTCCACTGCAAATTGAACAAATATGTTATGTTTCATAATGTGGTAACCAAATGTTCCAATCTGCATTACACAAAGCTTAAAACAAAGGCACTTAGATTACAAAATAAAATGCTACAGCTTGGAACTGCTAACATGTAGATTGCCCACTCAACCTCAAAGCTACCAGATACATTATATTGCTATTAATAACACGATCAAACATTTTCTCCCAGTAGAAGTTCTTTCACATCGCCCAGTCTTATTTTAGAACTGTTCAGGATTTTTATCGAGTAGTAGTGCTAGCTTTATTAACTATTTGCTACTGAAGTGCTAAAATTAATATAATATGCTCCTTTTCTAATATTCTTCCTACAACAGCTGATTGTTCTTTAAAGCTGTTTCCCATCTGTAAAATGGGAATGGAAAGAGGCAATCTTAAATGCTTACCTTTTAAGTTAGCTAAGTGCATGTGTCTATATCCCTGACATGATGATAAAAAGATAATCTTTAAAATTATCAGGTAATTTTGTTTTTTTTCATTTTCACTGGAAAATAAATATTGCAAATACCTCTTTCTGAGGCCAAAAGACCAGTGCTTTAGAAGAGGGACAAGAAAGAATAGGAGAAGAGACTAAGTAGTTAGAAAACATGGAAGAGAGGGATATATCAATGGGGTAGAGTACTCTGGTGATCAGGTAAACAGTATAGGCAACAGAGGGGGAAAAAAAAAAAAAAAAGACTGCTTAAAAATTCACAGTACTATCCAAAAGTCACAAAAATTACTCAATTTTATCAATAGTTTTATTTCTGAAGTACACAGAGTTGAGAGCATTTCAGAACTGCTGTTTCATAAGCAGTCAAAAGGGGAAAGGGAAGGTGGTGAGTGTTTCAGAGCTCTGCAGCTACATTCCAAACACAATTTTCTAATCTAAGTCAAATATTCACATGCTCACCTTTATCTCTCTTGTTGCTTTCAAACCAAACCCCTCCTCTTCAAATTTAGCTATTTCAAAACCCTCTGTGGATGCTCCATTTTCAGTTGCCCACTTTATCAAGTCAGGAAAATAGTCATCTCTTTTTCCATCAAAGACAACAGATAAACCTATATACACAATTTATTCAAAAACAAATGCAGAAATAAGTGCATCTAGAAAGATAAAGAAGTTCAATATAAAAGCACATGTAAAAAGCTATCTGCTATCCCACAAGCAGTTCTACTTTGAAGTAGCTGAGTCAGAACTGGTCTTTGTTAAGTATTACTCAATAGTACACAAATGTCATATCCAATTTTCATCAACTTAAATATTCTGCCAAATTGGCTTACCAGTCATCTTAAAAACACAACCACCTAAACTGAGCTGTGCTGAAATATGAAGCTCCCCTCCTTTTTTCCTTTTAAATAAGCTGAGTTAAAGCATTTCCCAGGTTAATATTGATGATAAATGCAATCACCACAACATGTTAATACAGACACAAGTAGGAATTTGAGAGGCAAGCTGCATCATTAATTCAGCACTGGAGATGATGATAAGCAGATCTCGGGCTCCTTCTCTCACAAACAAAGCAGTTAGCTTTTTCCTGTAGCATACAGATCTACTAAAGTACCTAAGGACTGATCATCCTCCTGACACCACACAGCTCATCCAAATTTTTACGCTTTGCTTCTCCAACAGGCAGGTGGTCCAACAGTGAAATCACAAATCTCTTAATTTCCTCAGCTTTCCCCCTTACCGTCATCTGATCTGAACCTATGCATTGAAGTTCCCAGCTACACTCAGCCAGCTCCTTTCATGCCTCTGCCTCCGTGTTCTCTTCAACCCAAACTCTAGTGTCAGATCACATTAAAAGTGTCCAAACACCCCTGAAATGCTTAGGCCATTTTATGAGTGACAAAACATCATCAGCAAGTTGCTTACATCCAAAGATACCTTGGTTAAACACAAGTGATAAATACATATTTAGATTAAAAGGATTTTAAGAAAGCAGTATTCATGTATTTGAAACATTCCCCTGTCCCAAATCACGCATTTCGAGCCCCAGAAACAATCAAATCTGCAGGTAACATAAAAGTACAAATGTAATGTAAAATTGTAGTCTTTGATGATGGAGTATAAAAACTCAATATTTATAAAGTATTTTTTTAATGCAATGAGAGTATGGTGAACAGTGGTTTGGTTTTGGTTTGTTTTTTAGTTAGGTTTTTGTTTGTTTTTTTTTTTTTTTAAAAAGCTGGCATTTCTCCTTTATTTCATACTCCCTTCAGTATGCTGTTTTCCGTGGAATACATTCAGAGCTAAGACCTCACAAATCTAGTACGACTAGCTGCATAGCTTCTACAGAACTTGATAGCTGTTTATACTGTCCAGGACTTTGCTCTTTTGATTTCCAACACTGACTACTGTATAAGGCTACTGGATGCTTTTAACATCCAGCTTGTATTTGGAACCATTCTGTAAGCATGTCTGAAACTCTGCCTTTGTTCCTCATACATGATGTGGTCCAATATTTCCCACATTTTTCCAAATTAAAGAGAAGAGCAGCTCTTTTAAATTACAAGCACTATTAGGGAAAATTTCCTTTCTATACCAAACAAAATATAGCTATACTGATGAAAATCTACATTGAAAAATTAGCTTTACTTAAAATTTTGCTAATGAGTCAAACAAGGAAAAATTTTAGAAAGTAAAAATACTCAGTTTTCAAATTAAGAGTTTTCTATAATCAAGATCATTTTAGTTCACATTCTACAACCCAGTGTTCTATTCAAGAAAAGAACAAAAGCATGCTACTTTAGGCAATACCTATTAATTTGTACACCTCAGAGTTCCAAAAGGCAATTTATAGTTCCTTTGCTAATTGTTTAAAGCTTTTATTAAGCTAGGAAACTGTGTAGTATAAATTACTACATTCCATTAAAAAAAAAAAAAAAAAAAGTTTTGAAAGACACCATACTATTCATCCTCACTATGTATGTAAAAATGTTACATTAAAAGCCATCTGTATGTCAACAGTGCTGTGGTTAGTAGGTTCTGCATTTCTCAAGGAAAAAAAAATATGCTCTAAAAACTTAATGCTGTTATAATGATTTTACCACTTCTGCCAGCAGCCATTTTCCCCATGAAAGTTTCAATCTTTCTGCCACATAAAAAAAGATATAGTGAACAGCCTTACCCCAACACTAACTCTGTCCTTGTTAACCTGAATTATGTTTTACCAGAACACGTTTCGCATCCTAAAAACCAGGACATGTACAGAAGTTTACAGAAGTCACAGGACAGTCTGATCTAGTTGAAGATGTCCCTGCTCACTGCAGGGGGGTTGGACTAGATCACCTTTAAAGGTCCCTTCCAACCCAAACCTTTCTATGATTTTATGACAGCAAAACAGTGAATCGAGTTCACTTCTACACAGCTACAGGATGTAGTCACTCGAATAGCATCATTTATTCTTCCATATGCTCTCTGCCATTAACTGGTGTTCAGAGGTTTAAAAGTATTTTCATTAAGTTATTCTTATGCATTAGTCAAAATTATTAAAAACAGGTATGAAAAGGACATTTCAAGCCTCTAAGTACAGTCTTCTGCTTTTTCAAGCAAGTATATGAATCACTCAAACTCCATTTTAAATGCAGTTGGACTTTTTTGCTGTCACCATATAAATATCAGAGAAGAACTGTTATTTCTCTGCTATTAAAATACAACAGAAATTAAAAAAGGTTAATTTTACTGAAGTAACATGAAAAGCATTTTTTAGAGCATACCTCTAAATAAAAACAAAACTAATATGAAAATGAAGTATCAACAGAAGTGAGTTGTTGCAGCACATACCGGAAGAAAACTGTTCTAATCTGAAAAATAAGCATACTTTAAACGTGGGAAAATAAACAATAAAACTCCACATTAACTGTGGTACCATAAGCATTTATTTTAATTATATGCTTGATCTATAGCAGATAGATTTCCTAGCTGATGTATTTATTTTGTGCATTTATAAATTTTTATTTTGTCATAATTTAATGTCATTATGTTGAATTGCTGCAACTGTTTCCATGTCCCATAAAGTGTTCAGGTTAAAAGTTATAAAATGAAATTCAAAATGTTCAGATTTATAGAGACAGAGGGACAGACTATGCAATCAGGAATCAAAAAGGCCTATTATTCTCAAAGGATTTTTACTTCTAGTCCTTCAGATTGTCGTCTCATCACACTCTCAAGATCTTTTTTCTTTTACTTTTTGAACAGAATTATCACAGGATCACCTGTCTGTAATATTCACACAGAATTATACGTATGAAAACAGTTAATGCCAGTGGCCATGCCTACCAGAACATTTCAGAAACACTTGCAAGTGTAGAAAGCAACTGCATGTCAGAGAATTAAGATTTTTATCCCAGAATAATAGGATTGCATAATATTTATGTAATAACAACAAAAATATTCCTTTCAGCTGTCAACAGACAATTCTTTAGGCAAAACAATACTCCGAGCCACCCTTATCTTCAGTCTTTCACATTTACCTTTTTGCTTTTTGCGAATTTTCTCAACAAGTGAACGAATCTGTACATATTCTTCCCATTCCTTTCCAGGGCCTGGGGTAGGACTGCTGCATTCTGTAAATAAAAACAGCAAATAAAAATGTTTTCTTTAATAAACTGTATCTATGTAGATTTTAACATTAGAGAAAAGGTCATGGTTTCACAGCAACTTTAACTAAACCTTAGTACTACTTGTCCTTCAAAGATATTTACATGGTAAACACCATAATCTCGATTGTTATAAACATCCTATTCTTTGACATGTAATTAATATATACTTTAAAAATTTTCACAGTACAATTTGCCTCAAATTATTATTTTTTAAAATATTCTTTCAGATGTAAGAAATATCAAATGCTTAAAAAGCTAGGAAGAAAAAAAGGTAAACAACCAGACCAGTCTCTTATATAAGACAAACAACAACCAAAACCAGTCTGTTTTCAACAATCCGAGCAAAACACTCTGTTTACATTAACCTGCTTGTCGTCATTCTCGCTGTAGTGAATGCAGATGATAACAGCACTGACCTTACCTTAAGTAATTGAGAAATTTGCTGGTACATACATTTGACCTGCCTAGTCAATACTGTTTTCATAGATGCAAGCATACTGGAAGGACAAGCAAAGGAACACTTAGCCAAGCTTTATCTTTAGATTATATCCACAGTGTCTCTGACAATATTCTAAATGCCAGTGTGCGGATTTCTTGATCTAAGCCACATAAATCTAAGTGGACAGCTGAAGATTACTTTGCTCAACTGATCTGAAAAATCTTTGTGTTGAATAAAATATGGAAGCTTGACAAAAAGAACAGCTGATACTTGTCTTTGCTTAGAAAATTAGATCTATGTTTTATTTTTGGTAGCAAAGCAGAGGCCAATTGTAGCATAAGCATCAAACTGCTCTGCCAACTCTTTGCCTCCTCTTTGTGAGCAATGCTAAAGAAAAATTCTAATTTTTCTAAAGCAACATTTAGCTGTGTCCAGAATATGAAAATTTGGACTTGTGTTTCAACAAGAAGTGTAGTTCAGCACAGTTACTAATGACAGTAGAAAGAATGAACGGTATTGTAGCATTATGATATGAAATTATGCTCTGCTTGTCGTATTTACTAGAAATAACAGATGAGTTCCAAGTTCATCAACAAGTGAAACAACCTTTAGTCTACATACAAGCACCTCAAAAAGTTTCCAAACAGCAACAACAACAAAAAATTATTTAAGCAACAAAAATAGTGCAGTTGAACTGCGTTGTATTGCCGCTTTCCACAGTTAATTCCTCTACTCTGGTATCAGTTCAAAGCACTGTTCAAATGATAAACAGAAACAGTGCAACTCTTGAGGTTTACAAGGAAAACATTTTTGACAAAGCTTCAAGTCAAGTTATCTAGAGTAGTTTGGGGTTTTTTTTTTTGTTTTTTTTTCTGGGGTTTTTTTAATCTAATCTCACCCAGTATTTATGCTTGTGTTGAGATGTAAAGCCAACAGCTGCCAGAAATATGGTATGCCAAATACATAGCCATTTAAATAAGCCAGTAACAGTATATACTAACAGAGACACCATGAGATACATACTGTTCTACCTTAAGCAGGCTGAAATAACAAGCTTGGTCACTTACTGAAACTGAATAGAATTAATTGGCTTCAACAAGAGAACGTTTCGGAGTGGTCTGTACACCATCCCTTTTCAGAAAGAGGAATAAAAATGAAACTTACTTTGCAATAACTCACTAATTAGATTCAACATTTCCTTTGGAGATACTGTTGCTGTGGCTCCTGTACCTGACTTCTGAGTTTTCACTCGGCTCTTCTTCCCCATCTTCCAACTAAAACAGATTAAGAAGCACACTGTCACCAATTACTAAGAAACAAAATACAATAATGATGAATGGACAAGATCTTCTCTTATTAGTCACTTTAAAAAAAAACCCAACAAAAAACCCAAACCCAAACAGCACGAGGAGTTGTTTCTGGCACGTATATATGTGCAAGTATTATATGCATGGCCTGAGTCTGAAGCAATACTTAATGTAGTTGCACGCTAATTACCCTAGGGTAATTAGAAACTAGAAATCTTAGAGAAAAGAAAAAAATAACAATTCAGATCACTTGCAATTTCATTAGTTATGAACAAATATTATGGATACCAAAGTATTCATGCTATATAAAACCAGGTTCTTTTACCTCATCAGCTGCACTGCAATCATCAGCTGAATTAGTATTTGTGACTGCACTAAAATAGTAATTCAAAATTAATAGAAAATTAAGTATTCCATTCCAAAACAAAATGAAAATATCATATGTATCTCTTTGCAGCAGCTTCTTGTGGTTCAAGACCACTAGTTAAGGAAAACATATTTTCAGTTACCACAATAAATGGAACATCATCCCACAACATCTACTGGAAGGGTAGCATAGCAGGGTGTGAAATATCCAGGGAATTTCTTGCATGCACTGGGAACAATTTTTGATGCTAGAGCTGAACAGGTTCTAGGGGAGGGGTTGCACAGGATCTGGTTCTCATGGATAAGGAAGAACTGCTCACGTATATGATTGCCAACAGCAGCCTTGGATGCAGTAATTGTGAAATGGTAATGTGAGATCTTGAGTAAAGAAGCAGACTAAAGGCTCTGGCCTCACAACAGTAGAGTTGGGGCTTGCTCAGGGAATGGCAAGCAGGATGCCCTGGGAAGCTACAAAGGAGCTCATGACAGCCAGTCATCTTCCTGAACTCTCTTCTTGGAGCACAAAAACAAGCCTTCTCATCATGCAAGAAAACCAGCTGGCACAGCAGGAGGCCAGCTGACTGTACACAGGACTCCGCACTGACTGAACTCAAATGAAACAAACACATGTAAAGCGGAAGCGAGGACAGGCAACCAGAGGAGAATACAGATACACTGGGCAAGCAGAGACTGAATTAGGGAGGCCAAAGCTTATCTGGAGTTGATACTGAAGAGGGATTTGAAAGGCAAGAATAAACACTTCTACAGGTACATCATCAGCAAAACACCTATTAGGGAAAGCGTAATTCACCTGATAAATCAGGAAGCAACCTAGTGATGAAAGGTGTAGAAAAAGTTGAGGTACCCAACACCTTGAGTATATAGTCTTTACCAGCAAGGTCTGCTATCAGACTTCCCAGGTTTCTGCATCTAGTAGCAAAGCTTAAGGGAGAAGAGCTATCAAGTTAAAAGTCTATTTAGGTAAACTGGACCTATACAAGTACGTAGGACCAGACAGGAAACAGCCAAGGTACTGAGAAAGCTATCTGATGTCACTGGAAGGCTGCTGGCTATCGTCTTTGAAAAGTCACAGTGATTGCCTATGACAGGAAACAGGAAATTTAAAAACAGACAAAACCCAACAGAAAAGCAAGGTGGGGGCAGGAGAGGACAGAGGATCCAGGGAACTCGATAGGAGTCAGTCTCACTTCATTTGCTGTACCAAACATAGAGCCAATCCTAAATGGAAGCCATTTACAGGCATAAGAGACATGAAGGTGACTGGGATCAGACAACAGACTTCTAAAGGCAAACGATATAAAGCCAACCTGACTGCCTTCTGAGGAAATAAGTGTCTCTGAGGACCAGGGAGAACGGGTGGTTGCCAGCTGCTTTGACTCAAGCAAGGCTTTAACACTATCTTCCATAGCATCCTGGTTGTCAGACTGAGGAGACATGGACCAAAGAGGTGGACAACAAGGCGGACAAAAAATTCCTTGGACCATGAGATTCAATGAGTTGTGGTCAATAATTGTTAGTAACTGCCAAATGGTTAGACACAGTGTTTTGCAGTGGTCAATACTGGGCAACATCATCAGATTTGTATGCTAGGACAGAAAGCATCCTCAACAAATTTACAGACTATATAAAACAGAGACACTGTTTGCACTATATAAAACAGTCAACATGGAAGGCAGGGCCAACATTCAGAGGGACCTCAAACTGGATAAAGTGGTCTAGAGGAATCTTATAAAGTTAAACAAAGACAAATGTAAAGTGTCCTGCATTTGGGAAGGAAAAAACCCTATACAGCTTTACAGCTACAGACTGGACAGGCAGCAGCTCTGCAGAAAAGGACTTGGAGACTCTAGCAGACTGCAAGTTGAACCTAAGCCAGCACTGCACCCCTAAAGTGATGAAAACTAACTGTAGTTTGAGCTGCATAAGCAAAAGCATAAACAGCAGGTCAAGGGAAGTAACTATTCCCTTCAGCTTGGCTTTGGTGAGGCCACATTGAGAGTACTGCACAGTTTTGGGCCATGCAGCATGGAGGTATTGTTAAACTGGAGCATGTCCAGAGGAAGGCCATTAAAACAGCGAAAGGGCTGACACATGAGATGAAAGACATGATGAGGGACTTGGGTTTGCTCAGCCCACTACGGCCTTCACCTGTGTAATGGAGTTATACAAAGTGTGGAGGCAGATTCTTCTCAGGCAAGCACAGCAGAAGGTCAACAGGCAACAATCACATGATGCTGCAAGGGAACTTCCAAATAGATACAGGGAAACTCCTCACCCTGAGGGTGGTTGAGCACTGGAACAGGATGGAAATTTAACAGCAACTCCAAGCTACCTTGGAGAATTTAAAAATTTGACCCAGCAAGGCCCTAAGCAACCTGATTTAACTTGGAAGCTAAAGCAGAAAACTGACGCTCTCGGTCTCCAGAGGTCCCTTCCCATCTACATTTTCCTATGATTCTGCATAGGAAATGTAGATGTTACTGCAACTGATATTTTCACCTACAGCCTACACAGTCTATATGGTACATAATATCTTCCTGTACAATATAGAAAATTCTATGTCCAATTACTGTGCAGTGAGAGGGGAGTCAGACACATTCAGGTAACTTTGGACATCTGAAAGATTTCAACTGCTTCTGTCATCAAGATCACTCCAGCCACAGCAGCTTTAAGCTGTCACTCCCTGCACAGCACAAACCATAAATATGCTAAAAACCACTGTACAGAAGTAGAACTTTGGATTCCAGGTGTTCTGAGCACTCTGTATATATAAAAGGCATCATTTTATCCTTGGTCAGTGTAGCTGGCTTATCCAAAACAAAGAGTTTCCTCCCATACTCTATCCAGAAGTTTTGTTCTTTGGCAGCTGGTATTAATACTGGAATGTATCGACCAGGAGCTGAAAAGCTGCTTCTCCACACTGACTGAGACTGAAACAATGGCAATCCATATCTTAAGTAACTGTATAGGGCAGATCTATTAAACACAAATTAGGTTAAACAACCTCTAGTGGGAAAGGTACATAATCTGTCTGCTTGCATTTTCCATTAATATCAGAGTGAACAAGAAACTGCCAAGTCCAAGGCCTATTTTAAATACTAACTTTAAATGAAGGAAGCAAATTAGGGTTGACAGTGTTAACTTGTTAACTCAAAATTAAAACAGCTCAAAACTGCCTAAAACAACACCACCTCATAACAAAAGGAAAAACTATAAGGTGTATTGAAAAAGGAAGGCAAACCAACCAAATTATTTCCTCTTCCAACACTAAACACAGCACAAGGAACAAGACTATCCCTGAGTACATGAGACTGAAGTCCTGGAGCATAACCACTGCCCCCCCCACCCCGATTTTAGGTCTCTCTAGCAGATATCAGAGGCTCAAACAACCCATCTGCACTGCTTATCAGTCCCCCTCAAGTTGTGTAATTTGCCTTCCCAGTACAGTTTCTACCATGAAAAGCCCTCACATGCAGGCCAGTAAGGAGAGATCCCACAGATTCCATGCAATCACACTGGCTGCTCACACCCCTTGAAGTTTGTAACTGGACATCCTCTTGAAAGACATTGCTCTACCACAAGCAATTACATTTGATACGAGATTTGATAACATTTTGCAGCTCAGATGAAGCATGGAGTAATGCTCATTATGAGATCCGTTTTGAATTTATAATAGCACAAATTGGAAATAGGATCAATATAAACGGCCAACCTGCCATAAAATAGTGTAAGACAAAGCCATAGAAGAACAATACCAACAAAAAAAAACCTTAGAGAAGTTTAATTTTTATGGTCTTCCTTTTTTTTTTTTCTTCTTCTTCCCCCTAGTAATGCTCTCATACTTGTAAAAACACAAGCAGAGCTCTTGGTACAGGAGGCCACCTTCACAAAGACCTTATTTGCACATCGCCTATTCACTTGAGTGTTCCCCTCTCTCATATGCCATCCTGTTACATTTATTTTAGACCTTTCTACTCCTAAGAGAAGTCTCTGGAGACAGAGTCCAAGCTGGGGAAGAACTGTTCACAAGGGCATGTAGCAATAGGACAAGGGGTCAATGGTTTTAAACTAGAAACGAGTAGTTTAGGTTGGATGTTAGGAAAAAGTTCTTCAATATGAGGGTGGTGGATCATTGGAACAGGTTGCCCAGAGAGGTGACAGAAGCCCCATCCTTGGAGATATTCAAGATCAGGCTTGATGGGGGTCTAAGCAACCTGCTCTAGTAAAGATGTCCCTGCTCACTGCAGGGGGGTTGGACTAGATGACCTTTGAGGGTCCCTTCCAACCCAATACATTCTATGATTCTATGATGACATATACTTTATATCAATCAAGATGCTCATAAATATTAAGATAAGTTGAACAACATATTATTTTGAAGGATTTTGGTTTCTCATTTCTAAGAACAAAGTATGTGTATCGACCAATAAATTAAGGAAAATCAGTCTAAGTAAATGTTCTGTATACACAACTACCAAAACACTGTGGTTTTGGTTGGGATTTTTTTTTCCTTTTAAGTTGTATTTAGAAGAAGAATCCGCCTGGAATACAAACATCCATTTGCAGATTTTCTGAGAAGAAAAAACCCAAAGACAACTGTGCATGTGTTATACATGGAGACATGAAAAGTGCCACCATGTAATCAGAACAATGATACACCAATACATGAAGCCGTATGAATATGGTACACTTAGCACTACATTTTGAATTCTACCCTGTATGAAACACGTTAGTAGTGAGAACCTATTTTTGCAGTGAAAGCATTGCCAAGAGTTATGTCTAAAGATAAAGCTGATTTTAGAATATGTGAACTTCAGCTTCCTAAATATGACAAAAATAAAAATTTGAACAATGCTAAGTATTTGTATTACTATCTTTTTTTTGCCTCTACTGTTTTAGAAGCAAAAAAAATTTTCTCTAATCTCTAGCTGAACTCTGCTCTATGCAAGTAAGAAATTCAAGGCTAACACAAGATCTTTCTCAGCTCCTACTACTCAGATAACACGCAGTGAAAATATAGGAAAAAACAAGTCTGGTGAACAGAACTCATTAGATGGATGGCACTGTAATCAGAAGTGCATTTTTTCAGTAGGATGCTACCAGTATATGAACATGAAATAAGCTCTGTGAGTATTTTCACTCTCTCCTTTGATGCATGTATCTTGTCTAAACCAGTGCTTCTTCGTCATCAGAATTTCTATAGAGAAGATACTCTGCATGCATGATTAAATCAGCAAGTCTATCTCACATGAAAAAACAAAAACAGCAGACTGATAACTTGAGCTATCTTGTTATGGAAGTATATCCTTGTAAGGAATCATCTATCATAATCAGAAGTGTACTTTTTTATCTAATTCTCAATCAGAAAAATAGGTCCCCACTTCCTACAATACTTATTTCCATTCACTGCCCAGTTCCATGAAACAGACAGAACTATTTAGTCTAATGCATCTGACGGATCTTTGCTTAGTAAAAGCTGTAATTTGAAAGGAATTGTTGCTATACATGGTTGTCCAGAAAACATATTCCAAATACCAATCTAGCAGAGCAGCCTTGTATAAAAAACCCCACATAATATATATAATATATAAAAATAGATTATGAAACTTTTTTCAAAACTTCTGAAACTAACATACAACATAAAATCTGATTTCACACTTGGCTAAAAACATTTTAGTTGAGCAATGCTCTCTGTCAATTTTAACCAGCAAATGATGAGTTATATTGATAATATGAGACCCAATATAGAGAAAGTAAGCGTGGTTCCTTTCTAAAACTACATTTTGTAATTAAAATTACATTTCATAAAACAGATTTTAGAGTTAGATTTCACTTCTACTGAAATCCCTGAAATTCCAAACATTTGTAACTTCAGGAAAAAAAAAAAAAGAAAATCCAAAGATTTGTAACTTCAGAAAAAACAGCATTTTTTAATTTGAAATAAAGTTTCAGATATGAAGCATCTTTTTTTGCAAGTGACTAAAACTATTGTTTAGAAAGAAATAAAGTATGAGCCTGCTCCTCAACAGAGCAATGAAAGGACAGGCTGTTTGCCAGTACACGCATGACAACAGAGAAGCAATATAAAATATAGCTGCATGACATGCAGAGAAAAACAAATAAAAAACATTCTTCAGGGCTGAAATGAACTGCAGACTTCATAAATATCTGCAGAATAACAATACACATTTCAGTGGAAAAGTGGTTTGGGCTTTTTTTTTTTAAGTTTGCTTTTCTGGTTGTCTTCTGGTTAATATTTTT